ATCATGGGATTAGAATAGTTATTTTTCGAAGCATCAAAAATGACACCTCACACAAAGTATATATATATAATTTTTTGAAGCATCAAAAATGGGTTTTTTGTGAAGCAAGTGCAAATAATACTTTGTAAAATGACACCTCACACAAAGTATATAATTTTTCGAAGCATAAAAAATGGGTTTTTTGTGAAGCAAGTGCAAATAATACTTTGTAAAATGACACCTCACACAAAGTATACCATATTAAATGCCGATTCGAAGTATTCATATTTTTTATCATTTTCCCATATTAGACACCTCACACAAATGTGTTCTTATGGTATGTAAGTAGGATCTATGCAATAGTCAAGACTGGTGTTGAAAGCGCCATACCTTTGCTATGAATAGTTTTGCCGACGATTAAGACCCCGTTTCAAAAAAAACAAATAAAATGAAGAAAAATTCAAAAAAAAAAAGAAATGCAATCCCACATGAAGTTAACTTATGTATTGTAGTTTTCAGAAAAAAAATGATAAACATGGATTTTGACATATTTTCTAAAAACAAATCATAAAATGGACTATCATATATGAACATTATGGCTTTCAAACCAAATGACCATGGTCATGGCCATATACATGGAATAGTTCATAATAATGCGCCCATACTTGGCACAAAGGTGCATCTTTCCATGCCAAACAATAGTGAAAAAAAGGAGTTTCTAAGGTTTTGTTACATGAAATGTATTTTGTTGCCAATGAAAAACACTCAACAAAGACCCCTTTGTCGGCTTGTTCTATGCCGAGCGGGAGCACTTGATAAATCCTTTGCCGTGTGGTTTTCGACGTTTGCCGAGTGTCCTGGGCACTCTGCAAACTGCTCAAATCCAGTAGCGATTATCAAAATGTCTACTGAAAAATTCAGATTTGGTAAGGTGTGCTTCTAAACTATTGTAATCCATTCATACTTTTTGATTTGAGGGCCATGGTGATTTGTTATGTCCTAGGAGTTAAGATTAGTAAACGGACTAGAATCCCTTGTACTTGAAAAGGATCCAGCTGATAATATTTAAACACACCATCATCAATGCTTATCGTTCTATGAAATGGAAAACTTTTGATTGGTGAAATCTGTATATGTTAAGTTATATGCATGGTTGTTACATCCTTGTTCCCTTTGTTTTTCATTGAACTTTGAATATGATGGAACTTCCGCTGATATAATACTCCAAAATAATATTGTTTTTCCGTATTATTCAAATTAAATGTACCATCAATAATTGGTGACGCCAAGCCTGCAACATTCTGTTAACCACATACCCATGTTCCAAAAGACTAAATATTTTATATTCCTGCTTGTGTTGCTATAGGGACTAGGTACATAATATTTACTATGATTTATTAGTTGAACTATTACTCATGGTTCTATACGATGTCTCTTTTAAAGGAAGGAATTACCGGAGTTATTATTTCCCAAAATGTAATACTGTCGATCAATGGTTAAGATACGATTATAGGTCTTCCCTATGCAGTGATAATCAGGCAGGGTTTTGCATGTGTTTCCCCATGGTTGATTCAAGTCAAGGATTTTTCTGAATGGTATCATAATGGAATGAAAAATTGACTTGCCAATTTGTAATTCTTGGAGTGAGTAAGAAAAAAAAATCTATGGCACATAAAAAATAGGTATTTTATTATTCAGGAACCAGAAGATAAACATGACTGATGTCTGAACATTTCGCTTGCTAATGTTTGCAATAGGTACAAAATAGTGAAGGGCATAGGGTCAGCTCTTCATTACCTCCACCACGAGTGCAATCCATGCATCCTGCATAGAGATATCAAGCCTGGCAACATACTCTTGAATGAGTATTTCAACGCTAAGCTTGGGGACTTCGGGCTATCCATGATCGCCAGCAAAAACAGAGCGACAGTGGTCACAACCGCCGTGGGGTCAGTGGGATACATGGATCCACATCTCATGAAAGACGGGGCTGTGGAGTTCAGCCGTAAGTCGGACGTATACAGCTTCGGGATCGTCCTACTAAAGATTGCACGTACACAAAAATCAAGGGAGGAAGTCTGGCAGATGCGCGGTGGCAGTGAGCAGCAAGTTCATGTGGATGGTGTTGTGGATGAAAGGTTACGCTTCTTTGACCGTACCGAGATGGAGCGTGTGGTTGTCCTTGGCCTCAAGTGTTCTCACTCAGCAGAGGCACAACGACCTTCCATGGAGGATGCAATGAAATTCCTCGAGGACGGCCAAGAGTTTCCTGCCACAACACAAGGAGACGGCAGCTTTGGTGTGCCTTGCATTGTAAACGAGGAGGCACCTATGATGACACATGGTGATGTCTCTTCTTATTACCCTTGAGCTACATAATTCAGTGCATCTGTCATGTGAGGCCAAACGCGTAGGGGCCATGTTGCACCCTAGTTCTTGTCCGAGTCTAGAACTTGCTGAGTTCATCTAGAGTTAGAGTGGGAGTTCGGTTCCTAAGTCGGAAAGGTTTTGTCCCGAAGAAGGTTACCCTGCCGACAGGATCCAATTCCAACAATAGTCCAAGTCTGTTTCCTCAATTGTAATTGGCTATATATACATAGCCACCCCCACGTGATCAATAAAGCAGGCAGAAAAGCTAACCTCTTGCTCCTACGCCGCACACGGTTCTCTCAACCTTGCTGCTAGGGCCGGTTGCTGCCGCCACAGGTCGCCGAGACTACTGTCCTCGGGCAACGGTATCTCACTAGTTACGCCCCACGTCCCAGCTTCCAAATTATAGGGCACATGACGGCGTCATGGGTCGCAACTTGATTATATATGCATCATCGAGCGTGCATGCAAGTTCCATCGTCATACCATATATATACTCCTGCTAGCTGGACGATGGATTGCACATTCGGTTCTTAAGTTTACCACTATAGTAATTAATTAAGGCATTCATCGATATGATGTTGGTAATAGTTTTAAGGGTTTTAATTGTTAGATAATGAGCAACCGATCTTTACCGAAGGCCAAAGGCCATTACATTTACATGTGTGGTAAAGTGCATGAAACCCCTTATACAATGGGGATATACCGAAAAGAGACTATACACATCTAACACCCCCCTCAAACTCATGGTGGATTAACAACACTGAGTTTGGAGAGAAAAAAGCCATGCTGCGCTTGAGTCTGTGCCTTCGTGAAGAAGTCAGCCAACTGTAACTCAGAGGGCACATAGTGAAGAGCGAGAGTCTGATCCTGCACAGCAGCACACACAAAATGGGCATCCACACCGATGTGCTTGGTGAGCTCATGCTTCACTCGGTCATGCGCAATACTGATAGCACCGGTACTGTCTGACAGTAAGGGAGTCGAGGTAGTAGCAGACACACCAAAATCCTCAAGTAACCACTGTAACAAGATCACCTCAGCCGTCAACATAGCCATGGCTCGCAACTCAGCCTCTGTACTCGAGCGAGAAACTGCAGTCTGTTTCTTTGTCTTCCAGGCAATAAGAGAGCCACCAAGAAAGACACAATAAGCAGGCATCAAGCGTAGATTAGAGGGATCACTAGCCCAGGTAGCATCAGAGTAGGCCTGGAGCTGAAGAGAGCTGGAGCGGGGAAAGAAAAGGCGCCAAGAGATCGTCCCACGAAGATACAGTAGAACACGGAGGAGATGATTATAGTGGACAGAGGTGGGGGCTGAAACAAACTAACTCAGGATGCGGACAGGATAGGAGATGTTAGGACGCGTAACAGCAAGATATACAAGGCTGCCAACAAGGTGACGACAGCGAGTGAGATTAGAAAGAGGTTCACCATCAGAGGCACGAAGCTGAACGTTGAGCTCCATAGGAGTCACAACTGTGCGCTCATCACCGAGAGCAGCGCGAGCAAGAAGATCCTGAATATATTTTTCTTGTGAGATGTAGAAGCCATCAGAGGTCAAGGAGATCTCAATCCCAAGAAAATAGCGAAGTGGACCAAGATCGGTCATGAGGAACTGGTCACGAAGGCGAGCCTTAACAAAAGCAATGTAGTCAGAGTCGTCACAAGTGATGATCATGTCATCAACATAGAGAAGGAGAACAGTCCGACCACGAGGAGACGTTTGAACAAACAATGCAGGATCATGATCACTGGGCAAGAAACCAACGACAGTCATGACAAAGGCGAAGCGCTCGAACCAGGCGCGAGGGGCCTGTTTAAGACCATAGAGGGAGCGGCGAAGTCTACAGACCATATCATCAGGAGCATAGTACCCCGGTGGTGGCTGCATATAAACCTCCTCACGCAACTCGTCATTGAGAAAGTCATTCTGAATATCAAGTTGGGAGATAGACCAATGACGAACAGCAGCCACAGCAAGAAGAGTGCGGACAGTGGTCATGTGGGCCACAGGAGCGAATGTCTCATCATAATCGCGTCCCTGCTCCTGCTGAAAACCACGGGCCACAAGACGCGCTTTGTAGCGCTCAAGAGAACCATCAGAGCGAGTCTTAATCTTGTAGACCCACTTGCAGGTGATGGGACGAACACCGGAAGGGAGGGAAGCCAGATCCCATGTGCCAGAGCGCTCAAGGGCAGCAAGCTCTTCGGCCATCGCAAGCTGCCATTCAAGCTGAGTCATGGCAGTCCGATACGAAGTGGGCTCAGCAATAACAGAGAGACCGTACCGATCAGGAGTAGCGATCAGGCTGGGGGCGAGGCCGAGTACGGAGGTTATGAACCGGGGGAGGAGTGAGGGGAGGTGCACCAGAGGTGGAAGGCGTGTCAAGAGAAGCATCCTCACAACGAGGGAGACGAGTATAGTGGAGAGGAAACGGTGAGAGAGGGCGACGGACGGGAGATGGTGGTGGAGAGGTGGAGGAGGAGGATGGGGAAGATGGTGTCAGTGGTGAATGAGAAGGAATGAGAGGGGCAGGAGGAAGAGGTGGAATATGAGGCACATAGCAAGGTGTATCGGAGAGAAGGAGAAAAGAGATATCATCCACAAAGAAGCTCGAGGAAGAAGGACGTGGGTAGTAAGAGCGAGACTCGTCAAAGGTTACATCACGCGAGATGCGCAAGAGACGACCAACAAGATCCCAACAGCGATAGCCCTTGTACTCGTCACTGTAGCCAAGGAAAACACACTCAACCGACTGAGCAGTCAGTTTGGTGCGTTCCCGCGGGGCAAGAAGGACATAACACACACATCCAAACATACGAAGGGCTGAGTAGTCAGGAGAACGACCAATGAGACACTCCATAGGAATACCATCCTGCAGGGCAGTCGATGGCTGAATGTTGATGAGGTAGGTGGATGCAGAAACATCCTCAACCCAAAAGTGTAGGGGAAGGGAAGCGGCAATCATCGGCGCACAAGCCGTCTCAAGCAAATGACGATGCTTTCGTTCCGCAACACCATTCTGAGCATGAGCACCAGGACAAGTGAACTGGGCCAGAGTACCCTGTTCCGCGAGAAAACCACGCAACAGCTGGGAGATAAACTCTCTAGAGGAGTCAGCACGAAAGGTGCGAATAGGCGTGGAGGGTGTGAACCATGTCAGCAAAACGTTTATATATAGAGAGAACCTCGCTACGAGATTTCATGAAGTAGAGCCAAGTGTAGCGAGAGAAATCATCAATAAACAAAACATAGTAGCGATGGCCACCTTTCGAATCAAAGGGAGCAGGACCCCAGACATCGGAATGAAATAAGTCAAATGGACGCTGAGATACCGACTCACTGATAGGATAAGGTAACTGGGTCTGTTTTCCAAGTCTGCAACCATTACAATGTAAAGAAACATCTCCAGATACAGACCCTAAGAGGCCCTGAAGAACTAAACAAGACAAGCTGGAGCCACAGATGTGACCAAGGCGATGATGCCACTGCTGGAAGGACGCAGACGAAGAGGCAGTCAGAGCATGAGAGCTGGCAGAAGTGGTGGCAGCGGAAGGAACAAAAAGCCAGTCAACCTCCCAAAGGCCCTCTGACTCACGGCGCCGGGGCCAACACCAACCAAAGCCTTGGTGCGACGATCCTGAATGGAGCAACAGTCGGTATCAAGAATGACACGACAACCGGAATTAGTAAGTCGGGCAGCGGAAAAAAGATTCATGGTAAGGCAAGGAACATGTGAAACACTAGGAATAGAAAAAGAAGGAGTGGAAAGAATACCGCGACTAGCAACAGGAAGAGGTGTGCCATCAGCGGTAAGAACATTAACCGACAAATCAAGAGGTCGGAGAGAAGACAACACGAGAAAATAAGAAGACATATGAAAGGAGGCTCCAGAATCCAGAACCCACGAAGATGTACCTGACTATGTAGATGCCTGCGGTGGTGGAGAAGTGGATGCAGTCACAGCAGTAGCGGAACCAGTCGACGAGGAGCCTTAGGAAGAAAGTGGACGCTTGAGGCGTACAATGTCCTGGTCAGTGAGTGACGGAGTGGAGGAAGACCCTGGAGTCCCACTGGAAGAGGAGCGCCTCTGGTCTCGCTTCTTCTGGTGACAATCAGACTCTGGGTGACCTGACCGGGAGCAGTAACCACATAAGGTGTCACGGCGCGACGTACCCTTCTCAACATAAGGAGGGCGACTCACCCCCCTGAAGAGCGCGGTGAGACGAGCAGATGACACAGGATCTCATGCGGCCAACACTGATGGAATCACAAGTAACCCAGCAGAGCAAAAGCGGGTATCCTTAGCACGAAGTTCAGCAAGCACCTCTGAGATAGGAACATGACCACGAGCAAGCAGGTGGGCACGTCGAGGCTCGAACTCAGAGCGAAGACGAGATAAGAACTCATGAACCCGCCGAAACTCCAAATCGAACCACGTAGTCTGACAGTAGCGGCAAGTCCCACAAACAACTGTCCGAAGAGAGTCAAGCTGACGCCAGATGGCAGAGCACTGTGAATAGAACTCATCAACAGAGGAATCACCTTGCTGGAGTGCATGCTCCTGACGCACCACAGATAGGTAGAGAGAATCACCAGAGGGCTGATAGCGCTGACAGAGATAAGACCACATCGCTGCAACTGTGCCAAGTCCCATGGACTCCGAAGCAAACTGAGGGAGGGCACTCGCAGTGAGAACAATAGTAGCACGAGCATCATCATTGCACCATTGAGTGTAAGTAGACAGACCATCGCGGTACACATAGAGAGCATCTGAATAAGCTGATACCCGCTGGCCATAAGCCTCGATGGCAACATCATCGAGAGCCTTGGCTCCATCCCGGTCAGCTTGAGAAGCATCAGCAGCAAGGACCGGCGGCACCGGTGGGATTGGGGCCACTGGCACAACAGGGCATGGCGGACAGGGGACCTCGCCAGAAAGAACACCCCACAGAAGAAGGCCACGCATATGAATGCACATGAAGCCCACAAACGCA